CCTCCGCCGGCCGCGGGCGGGAGGGAGGGAGGGAGGGAGGGAGAGCAAAGGGGAAAGGAAGGTGGGAAAGGGAAGAAGAGAAAGGCCAGGGGAAGGGAAAAGGGAAGAAGGGAAAGGAAAAAAGTAAATCAGGAAAGAGGGGGAAGGGGAAGGGGAAAGGGAAGGGGAAAGGAAAAGGCAAGGAAAAGGGGCAAGGAAAAGAGGCCAAGAAAAGGAAAAGAGGCAAAGAGGCAAGGAAAAGGAAAAGGAAAAGAGGCAAAGAGGCAAAGAAAAGAGGCAAGGAAAAGGAAAAGAGGCAAAGAAAAGGAAAGAAGGAAAGGAAAAGGGAAGGAGAAAAGAGGCAAGGAAAAGGAAAAGAGGCAAGGAAAAGGAAAAGAGGCAAGGAAAAGGAAAAGAGGCAAAGAAAAGGAAAGAAGGAAAGGAAAAGAGGCAAGGAAAAGAGGCAAGGAAAAGGAAAAGAGGCAAGGAAAAGGAAAAGAGGCAAGGAAAAGGAAAAGAGGCAAAGAAAAGGAAAGAAGGAAAGGAAAAGAGGCAAGGAAAAGAGGCAAAGAAAAGGAAAGAAGGAAAGGAAAAGAGGCAAGGAAAAGAGGCAAGGAAAAGGAAAAGAGGCAAAGAAAAGAGGCAAAGAAAAGAGGCAAGGAAAAGGAAAAGAGGCAAGGAAAAGGAAAAGAGGCAAGGAAAAGGAAAAGAGGCAAAGAAAAGGAAAAGAGGCAAAGAGGCAAGGAAAAGGAAAGAAGGAAAGGAAAAAGAACAGGAAAAATGAGAGGGGAATGATAGGAAAAGAAAGGAAGGACAATCCAGGCTATTGAAATGGTAACTGCAACGTTTTTGCACCACTGACAAGAGAAACGCTGCAGAAGGGCCTGCAGATGAGGCACAGCTCTGTTGAGGCAGTGAACTCTCGGAGACAGCATGTCCTCGCTGTGGCGAGCGCGGCGCCTCTGCTGCGTCTGCCCGTCTGTCTGGGGAACGCTCTCCTGCGGGGAGCATGAAAATCCCCGGGCACTTCAGCGCAACAGCAGTCTGCGGCGTGGAAAGGGAACAAAGTGCTGTACTGACATCCCGGGGGAAGCCCGGCTGTAGGTCCCAACCCCACGCAGGGACACAGGGGTGTCGGAGACACCCCACACACCTGTGGGCCGGAGGTCTCTGGGACACTGGGTCATTCTGAATTCAGACATACCCATTCCCTAGGGCTTGCACTGGTTGGTACTGGGCTGGAGCTTTCGCTTTAGACACTACCCAGCTAGGAAACCAGGAGGGCAGCTAAAGCAAAGCAGGCTTTGGGAGCGTATGGATGGGGAGCCGAGGGGGTGATGATTTTTCATCTGCCTTCCGAAGACCTGCATCCAAGTACAAACAGACGGGGGAAGGTTGCCCTTCCAACTGCACAAATAGCTTCAGTTCTGCCCGCAATGGCAACGACACGCTGCATGGTCGTTCTGGACAGTCAGGTTTAATCCAGCTATTGATTTATCTTGCAGATACTGTTCTTATTTCACAAAATTCAGCCCCTTGCCAGAAGTTTTGTGGTCGTATTAGCAATAAAATGCTGCTGCTGAATGAAGGTCTTGTGCTTCTTCAGCAGTAAATGATGCTCAGCTATTGAGCTGCTGTTATATGTACAGCAGCGTCAACAGCAAAAGCAAAGACCAACAGTCCCCATTTGTGCCCTCAAGAACAGGCTAGGCCAGGACCTTTCTACCTGATTTTTCTCTTTCCTCATGATCTTTTCCCTGCATCTTCTAAACTAGACTCCACTTGCCCACCAGGCCTGAGCCTCTTGCCTTCCACTTCCCACCTCAACCCGCTTGCATCCAGCTGCCACTGCCTTAGCAATACGTGCTCACTGGACCAGATCTCGGGTCATACACACAGCTCAGAGGTTGAAGCCACGGTGTAAATGAAGCACAACCAGGTTACCCGCGCTGTTCCTCAGTCCAAACCACCAAAGAATCCCCTAAGGACAGTTAAGGTCCAAAGAGATGCCCACGTCCTCTGCCCAGCCCTCTGTCTCAGCAGAGCTGGGCTGATAGACGTTCTTCTGACTTGGAGCAAATTCTAGCACTGAAAAGCAGTCAGGAAATTTTAGACACAGTCTCATTGTTTCACCTAATTACAGCAGTTGTCTAGTTAGATGTTCATTCCCCTGCTTGCCTTCTTTTTTAGGACTAACACATTCAAAACAGCAAATCTCTGCAGGCCTCACTCCTGGGCTGAAGCTAAGGAAGAGTTTGGTTTTTCATACCCTGCGATGAGATGGACTCTTTCAGCTCACACCACCAGCCTGTAGAGCTGCTGCAACTTAACGGAGCCGCCTCAAAGCAGGAAGGTCACAGAGTGTCCTTCTCCTTCCCTTCCACTATGTCCAAGTCTTTCACTGTTGCTGTAAAATGGGAGAAGGTGCTGTTTGCCTTGCTGTGTCTCTCTTCCACTTCCTAAGATTGAGTTACCAGGACAACAAAGAAGAAGGGTAGGAGGGAAGTGCGCATGTACTCTGCAGGAGTAACCTCTTCGCATGCCCTCCCACTGGAAGAGATTGGCAAGCAGTATCTGTTCAGCGGAAGGTGGGACTTGGGTTTCAACCGAATGCTGTTGGAAACCCTACCTTCCACACTGGTCACCTTCCCTGCACGCTAGCAATGCTCAGTGATGTATTCAGCTCCAAATGGCAGCTATACAAACATCTACGGCAAAACAAAAACAAATTTAAGGCATAGTATGAGGGTAGCCACTGCTTTGGCAAAGTACGATGAAGCCACGGGGTGCTAGGATGGGATGCTGATGTCATGTATAAAGTTTCTCATGCTTGAGATTTCCCAGGATGAGGCCTTTCGTACGAGTCAGTATCCAGAGTAGAAGTTCTGAGCTCTGAATTTCCTCAGAACATCCTCTTTTGCTCACATCTGCAACGGGAACAGAATCTCTGACCTTAACATGCACTTGTCAGTCTCAAAACAGGAGAAGTGGCTCAGATCCAGTCCCAGGCTACTTCTTCATATCTAAGGAACAAGAGTTCTCTGTGGCACTTGGTGAAGGGCAGAATTTGACAGAACCGCTAGGGTTTTATTATCAAATCCAAAGTCTGAGTAAGCAGCAGGATGGCAGTCAGGGAATTCAAACCTATTAAGCCAACAGCTTTCCTGATGTTACTCCTTTCTCAAGCTAGGTTACTGGAGCAGAACAGATTTTCCATCCTATGCTCATCTTCCTTAGACATAACACCAGATCACTGCAACTTCCTTGCTGACAGATCTTGGAACCAGAAGGTTCCCTGCCTGTTCTGATGCTCCAAATGTGCTTTCAGAGTAAATGTGCTGCAGAGAAACCCCCTCTGAAGGGCAGCGGCCTTTCCCAAGGCAAACTAAGCATCAGACATGAGGGAGGACCACCTATCGGTATGCTTCTTAGAGTCTCTTTGCCAAGAGGGTCCAAACAGGGCAGCATTTAGAAGGAACAGATGGCAGAGGGTTTTCACGTCTCCTCTGGCTTTGCCTTCAGAGCACTCAGAAAAGCTGGCAATACGGGAGAAGAGCCAGAGGGAAGCATAAGCACTCTGACTTGTGCCATGTCTTGCCCACCATCTCAGCTGTCCTACCTCGAGCGTTCCTGTGCCTGAGGCTACAGGGAGGAGCCAGGAAGAAGCAAAATTCCTGTCTTCCCTTGGCATTCTAATATGACTTAATATTTGGGGAAAAAATTAGAAGAAATCATTTTCATTTCACTGCAAAATTTAAACTCGAGCATGAGAGATTTGAGCTTTTATTCGGCTTTTGAGGTCTCCTTTCACAGCAACCAAGATAGGGGCAACCATGTGAGCACTAGGGAAGTTACTGAAGGGTCAGAATATTTTGAAGATTAAGGGAGTTATAAATCAGAAGAAAAAAGAAGTCAGAAACCTTTTCTTAAATTAAAACCAGGGAAGAAAAGGCACAGAGAGGATCAGCACACCACCCGGAGCTGGACACAGAATGTTGCTAGTTCCTAGTATCTGAAAATTGTGGAGTGTGACTGCAACATTGCGGAACTGGCTTTCAAAACTGTGAGATGTTAGAGCACAACAGTTGCAGACTGTTCTCTTGTCCTGTCTTTTAGCTGTTTAAGACTCCTTTTTTTTATATATTTTCCACCACAACCATTATGATTAGTTTTCAAATAGAAAAATAAACTCTCTGAAAAATGGAGGAAATCACATGGCCGGTACCAGAAGACTGGCAACAACTGATTTCTGATGTGATAGGCCTTCAGTGATTCTATATATATCTGCTCTTGAAACTGGGCTGCTGCAGCAGGCGCTGAGAAGTGCATTACTGGGAAACAACAGGCTAGTGAAACAGTTCTGGAATGAGCAAATTTTCATGCTGGTTAGCTAAAAATCTCTGAAGAGAAAAAAGGCTCTTTGCTTGTTTAGACCGTCAAAGGAAAAGCACAGGAACAGAGCTACCATGGGTTGGACTTTGCTCACTGTGGTGCATGAATATTCTGTGTAATGCCCAAGGATGCTGTCCCTGCTTCTGACAGAATTTGTCTTCAACATAGATTGTTTTCCACAATGTTGAGCATATTTCAAACGAGACAGTGATGGCTTTTAGTTACAGGTTTCTTTTTTACTGTAGGAATTTAAGTGTGATACAAAGGTCTTTACCTTTTAAATCCATATGCACTTAGTAAAAAATCTGATGGCAAAATTAGCTGAACTCTCTAAGTGATTCATTTAGACTCTGATCTCGCAAATATGAGCTATGCTTAAGCATAAGACAGCATATAAACAGGATCAGGAATAGCCACTGAAACGGTGTCTTTTATCTTCATTAGGATTATTTTTGTGTGTAAGGATCAATTTAATATGATGTATTTGGCAGAATCTCACGCAACAGTTGCAAGGGGATGAAAAATACTGCAGTATTAAGAATATTTCACTTTCATATTAAAGCAAGGCTAAAACCTGCAATCCCTTCTCTCTAATAATGAAAAAAAATGTAAACAGGTCCACGCTGCTTAACTCTGTTTAGACAGACCTCCTGTTATTGCTGCATGTATTTCTACCTGACCATTTAGGTTTGTCCCAAAAGACGAGAAGGAATCTGTTAAGCTCACAGTCAATACACTCCCTTTCCAAATTCTCCAGACAGAATATTGAATTACCCATGCTCTAATTTATGTTATTAATACAAAAGATGAGGAATGACTACCGATTCCGTCCCTCTGGTATTTGGCTTCCTTTCAGAAGGCTGATTAAACGAGCACGTTACGACGATAAAAGAAAGGATCCAAGTTGACTTACCTCCACTTTAAGGAGTGCACAGCCTTTCAAGAACTCTTGAATATTACTGAGGCAATCAACTTCATTTTTAGGCTCCAGGCAATACTAAAGAAAGAAAATCCACTGAGATCATTGCATTACCTTCCACATAGCCTCTATTCAGAAGGCCCGCATGAATATTGACATGTGCGTTTTATACTGAATTAGGGAAGCTTCTTAAGGGGGCGGATGGGGGTGGCAGGCAAGCTGTCGAAGCAGGAAGAAAGAGCCACTGGAGGAAGTGATGCATACATCGCAATGGTCGGCATCTTGTTTTGAATGTCAACATATGACAGTGCCCTAAGTGACAGTGGGAAATGGATGACCTTTAAGAACGCACTGCCCCCAACCATCACATATAAGCAAAAGATAAGGAGCTAGCAAAACTGATTTTTGCATAATAAATAAAGGCTCCTGTTTTACAGGGTGGAAAACCTGGTTTGTTTGTTTTTTTTTTTAATCAAACAGCTTCTCTTCTGTGTTGCCATTTCCTATCTCTCATTGGACTCCTTCCCTTTTTTTCTCCTGCAGTTACTTATGACACTTTTGGACTGTCCAAATATATGCCTCGTAAAACTGTAATAGGAGGTACTCACGTGGCTTAAATGGCTTCAGTACCAATGGATTCGCTGGCCTTGGGACAGTTCAAAATGGCATGGATGCAAGGTTGATTATTTATTCCTAACCTAATCTGCTTCTCTAGTGTATTTCCTGACTAACGAAATATTTTACAGTAAAGAGTTCTGAAAGAGTGAATATATTTACAGTTGTAATTAATGATATTTACGTAAATACAGACAAACTGCATATCCTTCTATTCAAAACCAAGATATTTTGATCCCTGGTAGGCCCGGTATTTCCTGCCACTGAACGAACATGCGTAACTCGGGCAACTGCAACCTTTTGGGTTTTTTTCTGGATGTAGAGACAAAATCCAAGAACTAAAGCTACAATTTGCGCTCAATTAGATACAACTAGTAACTGAAATGTAAAACATTCATCTCTCCGATACTCCTTGCTCACCTTATTTACCAAAGGAAAATATACCTCAGGATGACCAGGGCGGTATTTCACTGAGCTATGCTCTGTTTCAGGCTAGCAAAATACATCTTAGAGAGTTACCTTTTCTGCAGATCCCGGAAGAAGCCGATTAATGAGTTTACAAAGCACAGTTCCATCTTTCAGAGAAGTTTTCAGGAACTCCTCCGGATCATCTACTATTTTCTTAGGGGAATTTAAAACTCCTAATGAAATAAGCCACGTTACAATTTGTTCTTCTGGATTCATCGCGGAGAGTTCTGCCGCCAGCGCAGTTCTCCTGTGCAGCAGCTTGCTGGAACCCACATCCGTGATTACATCTTCCTGCCTCTGCTGCTGCTTGCAGAGCTCAAGTGTGAAACTACTTTTTTTTTTTTTTCTCGGCACAGAAATTCACCAAATCTTAGGCACCAGAAATACTGTTAGTCTAAGGTAAGAAACTTTTTTAAAAATAAAATAGTTTCTAGCACTCTGTTAAAGAAAGACAGTGAAAGCGGATCTTTAACTACACGTTTTCAACATTATTGAAAATAGATGTATTTTATGTGGATACTTTTTCCACCAAAAAGATCTTACCTAGCGACTTCCTCCTTTGTGGCAGCTGGCATGCTAGCATCTGGTAAACTTGGCCTTAACCGGTGGCTATTGCCCAAAGAAGTAAATGCAAATTTGTCTGTAGTACTGTAAATAATGAGGTATTTGCAGCATTAAAAATTCACACTAAAGATGATTGGGGGGAAACGTCACACTAACTTTAAATAAACATTTTTGGGGGAAACATCACACTAACTTTAAATAAACATTTAACTTTATGTGGCAAACCTAGTTACTAGAATTGCCTTTTATAGTAGTTTTCCATTTTTAAGATCTGATTTTTGCAAATAAATTCTGATCATGCATTTTATGTAGAAAAAAAATTGGTTTTTTCCAACTATTTTATAAAATAAGTGCACATATAATCCAGAATGCTTTTTTTGGAAGTTGATAATCTCTCAAAACAAACATCTGGATAACTTCGAAAAGTTCATAAATTTAAGTTATCCAAAGCTAAGAATGAAAGTTTCCAACTATTTTACTTGTCCTATTAAAATGTCCTTTTCCACCAGCTCTGCAGGACCCGTTTTATGGAGTAGTATCAGTCTTTCACCCTGCTCTGGGACAGCATTAACCATCACTATTGCTCGTATCAGTTTAGAAAAGTCCAGTCATCTGGCCATTTTCTTCTCCTTTTTAACTGTCCTTTCACCAGAACAGATGGAAAATGAAGCACTTCTCCGTTTGTGATGCCAAAGAAGTTGGAGCATCATGGACTGAAGCAATGCAACAGGAACAAATTATCCTAGAGACCAGAATTTCTCGGTGACAATATTCTGAGCCAATTCCTAACCCTGTTACTTGAAGCAACTGTTTTCAAGCCATCAGCACTCCCAGACTCCTTAGGCTGGTAATTTAAAGGGTAGGGAGAAGTAGAACAGCAACAGGATAAATTATATACAATACGCATGGGTTTGTGTCTCCACTTTCCAGGTCTTATGACTGGTACTGCAACCTGCATAAGGATCATTTTTAACAGCCACCAGTAAGAAATCAGAATTGCCCTTCTAGGGTTAGACAAGACTTTTGACCTTTATGAGGGCACGGGGATGAGTTCCAGCTCTCTGCTGTGTGGAAATACTAGTAACACATAGCTGCAGCCAGTGTGAACGATAAAGCCGGCTGAAGCTAAATCACACAACTCATTGCCATCTGGTGAAGTACATCTACAACTATCCATATGTGTGCAAAACATTTCAAATTTATGACTAATTACAAGAACTTTAAGTTTTTTTTTTTCTCCAGTTCCCATGAGCAGTATTTTGTAGAAGTGAGTACTTGCAGTCTCCGCTTTTCGTAGCTTGCTTTTTCTTTTTCCAAATCTGTAGTAGGCAAGACAACTGGTAATGCTCATTCATCTACTGGGGACAATCATTTGTGTATGGAAGACATCCACTTCAGTCATCTCATCAGAACATACCAGTTTCTGATGTAAAGAGCAAGAGAAATATTTCAACACAGGGAAAATGACACACCTGCTTCATTAAACTGTGTTATAAGCCTGAACACAGAAGAGTACGTCACCCACTCCCTCCTCTAAAGCAAACCTTTTCTTGTGTCGATAGGCAGGTTTAGTTTCACGACTATTTCATGTGCAGCTCTTGCAGCTAAGTGGATGTTAATGGTAGCAACTACAATTAAATGAAAATACTTCCCACATCTTGAACACTTACCAACTGCTTGAAAGACCTGGAGACCTATGCATATTCAGAAAGGCCCAAAATTTAAGGCATTTCTGATTAGCCACCTCAAGGCCAACCCTACGTCTTTCAGAAAGGACCCATCTAAAAAATGTTCCAGCTTGTTCACCCACCCCTACACTAAAATGAATTCTGTGGCAAACCCAGGGTATGAAGGCATAGCCACCAAGCAAGGAACAGCTTCTGGTCTGTGGAAAAGACTTCCTTTGGTTATTTGCTGACAGGGACAAATCAAGTGAATTGTCAATCATCTCTTGCAGAGCCAACCTCCATCCGCACGTTACAAATACACTTTTATTTGCAGCCTGATTTACACCAGTGATGACTATATAGCACAGTATTATTTAAAAAATAAAAAAAGGGAGGGGGCGGTGGTTTATGCCCAATTATCAAAGGACTCTGATGGCACAGACATCAGTAACAGCATGGCAACAGGAGCAAGTTAAGCATAGCATTCAGATGGTCGGAAAACATTCTAGAGCGATTCTCCTCAAAGTCACTCACTGTCACGTAACTTGCTTCTTTTTTCAGCATAGAGGGAAAACGCCCAATACAAAGTACAACACTGGAGTATTTGCCTGCTGCAGAATCTACCACGCCTTACATTTAAACTAGTGACTTTCAATGACGACATTGGAGTCAGTGCATGAGCTAATTCACGTTGGCGGTACATTCTCGTTATTTAGCATTTTAGGCAGGTATCAATCTTTTTTCGTATGATAGCTCATATGTTGGCATTACATTTTAATTAGGATGATCAGTTTTAGCCTAAACAGCAGCACCCAGACCATAAAGCTACTGCTGAAAAAGGAGTCTCTTAATATTACAGCGCATTATTCTTTCTGGCAGAAGATGCACTCTCTGAGACCACTTTGTAACAATAAACCTCCATCGATACGTAACACTAGTAATCTTTTCTACCATGCAAGTGTTGCCGAGTAACAGGTATTTTATTTTCATTAAAAAAAAAAACCAAAACCCATAATGCTTTTTTTAACAGTAAATTTATTCGCCCTGGGAAATACCGCAATTCTACCCATCCGCTACATACAGGCAGACTTACTCCTAGAATCTGCAGTCCATAACAGAAGTTTAAACTGATATTCTTATCCCAAAACCCAAAGGTAATTTTAAATCCCTGGACAAGGTATGCATGCTTTTTCTTCTTTAGCTACTCATTATAAACTGAGTGTCAGCTGTTTAAATGAGATCAGTTTATGTCTACCACAGAAGTCAATATAAACTTCACTAGCCATGACTGTTTAAGTACTTCAGTCAATCTGAAGTTAGTTTTCTATGTGAAATACTGGTGCCTGAGGATTCCTCTCTCACACACTGGCACGTCATCATACATGTAGACAAAAATGCATCAAAACCAAGGCAAAGTTTTGAAGAAAGCATCTTGCTGCAAGAGATGCAGTGCTGTCTGGAGTTTTGCAAGAAGCCAGTACATACAAAACCACCAATTATTCTGGGGATTTATCACTAATATTGCCTCAGTACATCAACACTTCCTTCCTCTCATCCAGAAGGCCTGGACAATTATAAAACTGTTAATGTAAGAACACAGTAAAACTTTTCATGGTTTCTTGGTAAAGAAGAATTTGTGACAATTTAGACCTCTGTATTTTAGAGGATTAAAACTCACTTTTATATAACTTGCTCTTTTTTTCAGCATAAATGGAGAGCACCCTCTGTAAAGGGCAACCCCCGAGTGTTCTTCTGCTGTAGAACCTACTGATGCATGTATACTGAGACTAAAAAAACAAAAAGGCTCACTCTTGACTCTTGGAAGACGTCAGCTATGGCAGACAGCAACTGAGTTCCACCTGAGATTTTTTTTTATATCCAAGAGATTAGTAGTGCTACTTTCAAAGGCAATTCCTGAATGATAACACAACCCTCTAAAACAAATACTGGGTAACACTGCACTCAAAAGCCAAGCTTTATCAGCTGCATTTCGTTATCCTTCCATTTTCCAATGCATATCCACTGCTGCACTGCCGCCTTCCAGTCACCATAACTGAAAAAAGAAAATGCAAGTTAGTACACTCTCAGAAACCAAGAGACAGACAAAAAAGCTAAATCATCTTTGAGTTGGCTGTTTTTGTATACACAACGCACACATTTGGATTATATTCAATTTGTCCCTACAGTATGAAATACACCAATAGCTAACTACAATAATCAAAACCATCTGAGGACTACTTGTATTAATGCACCCTTCTTGCACAACACTGTCTCCAGAGCAAGTACTAAGTAAAGCCTCTGTAATTCCTGTGCACATCCCCCTCTGAACTCTTGCCTACCACAGAATCCCACTAGCTCCTGACCATCCTGGCATGATACTCACGAGTCCTGTAATAAACTGGTGTTAATTTGTAAGTAATGATGTGCTATAAATTAAATAAAACTTGTGATCAAGAGAAGGTGAACAGCTTGCTGAATTAGTACAATTACATTCTTATTTTTTACAAAGTTAGTATTACCTTTCCTGCCATTTGGTCAGTTCTATTTACTGCTCCCTAAACTAACATTGTCACCATGCCTGTTAAGAATTTGAAAATGTTTATAAGCTGCAGAGTAGGCTGAGAAAGCGTGCTTTTACCTTTAATATCTTTATTAATTACAACATGGCCCATTACCACCAGTAAGTGACAGAACACATCTAGTGAATTGAGAAAAAAGCACTTAATTTTCCCAAGAGAGAAGCTTTTACACTTGCCAAGGGTTAATTAAGCTTCAGCTTCCCAGCTAATACAGACAATTGAAGCTAACATGGCACATATATACAAAAAAGCTGAATACATTCTGACACAAGCTATATGATTTGGCAAAACCTTTTAAAGTCACCTAGGATGCTGCATATTAAAGACAGTGTTCCATTTCTTTTTTAGAGGATTCACAATCTGGATCAGCCTCAAACTGTAAATTTTAAAACTTGACTCCTGCTAATTTTTTGCAGGTTGGTGGGGGAGCAAGGGAGAAGAGC